AAAATCTGACAATTCTCTTATAAGAAATTATTTACCATATGTCGAGATTTAATGGCCTTAAGTGAAACATTCTAACTCCCACTAATCCCATAATTCTGTTGGGAAATCAGTTGTGCCGCATCATAAAACGACACTAGTAATAGCATAGGTACGCAGGAATCTAGATATTCACAAGATATGCTTCTGGTTATGACTAACCAAGTCGCGAAGAAATGAAGAATAGACAAGATTTTGCATTTAAATTCAGCGCGTTATACACCAACTCTGATTTAGGCTGAACGGCATCGCCAACTAAGCCTAAAATTTAGGAAAGTTAAGCTTTCTTATCTCAGTCTTTGCCAATCTTATCAACAATGGAATATTTCATCGAAGGAATGCTGTCATACGTAATGCAGGACAGCTTGAGGGTCCAGCTATGCCAAGCGAATAAGGGATGATGCTTACTAAGGAACGAGAACCGTATAATTAGAACCAAAGTGAAAATTATCTCCCTTTAGTGATAAACTAATCATCAAATGAGTGCTTTCACAAGGTATAGCATAGAGATAAATTAATGGCGAGCTGTTTTGGCAGGCAATAATCGGAATTAATTAATTTTCAATACTCTGGTTATTAGCTGAAAAGATACATGCCTATGTATATAGAAAGTTTGGCTTTTGGCATACTGATTTACTGGTAGTCTCAAAACTATACATGCATACGAAAAATAAGTACCGTAGTCGATTGTTATGGCAAATATACGTTTGCTTCATCGACAATCCCACAAAAAAATGTGATATGGGAAAAGGCCTGGCCTTTCTTGAAATTCACATCTGTCCTGTGACCCAAGAGTACTCGTGGAAATGTGGTCAAGTAATTAACGTGTCAAGCTGCCATTCTGCACTGTCACGGTTCGACTCCCGCTGGGGGTGTTGATAAGACCAATGCGAGGTCGAAACTGCAGTCCATCCTGAATGAGAAGACTTTTGGGAAAACAAGGCTATGTGAAATTCAATGGAAACGTCAGCTCTACTCATATCATTGTGGAAAAATTCTATTACCAGTCCTTCATCCCCTTAAACTGTACTAACATTCATGGCATTCTATGGTAGCAGAATAACTTTAATTTGGGTACAATTATTGGCCAAGTCAAAGCCAGAGGCAAGTGAGGGATGTTAACTGTTAGTTGGGTTCAAATAATGTATCTGTAGCAGATTAGGGGTTCAGGTGGGAGATAACAGAAAGCTGAGGATACTTTCGGTGCAATCTGGTTTCGAGTTTATCCCTAATGTATAAGTAATAAATTATTCAGCCCAAGTCGCTTAAGGTGATTTGTTGACTTATATTTTAGCTGAGTAGGCCCCAAGGTATCATTAAATTTCCTTTAGCTTTGTGGCATAGAATGATAAAATTCCTTTTTAAAAGGAAGGTAGTGTGAGTAACTCAAAAGTAAAAATTGAATTATTCTCACTAAGTTACATTCACACCTCCAAAGCAATCACCCTACAGCTTCCGGTGAAGGCAACTTACGAATCCCCTCCATTCCACTCTTCAAACGAAAGGATAGGTAATCCAACATTAAAGTGGGTAATATATGAGTTCTTAATACAGTCAAGGAACATACATCATGGAAAGTGTATGGGAATTGGTGAATAACCACTCAGGGCGAGGCAACAAGAAGTATGGAAGATTTCCAGCCAGCATAAGTAGCATACGGAGATGAAATATTGTTAGGTTAATTTTTTGCATCCCCAGTGGGAATCGGATCCGGGTAGTACAGCAAACTCAGGATGGAGCTAGGTGCCAAGCTCTCCCGGGTAGATTTACTACCTGCATCGAAATGTTAACTTGTTAAGAAGAAGACACTCTATCCGAAAGTCTTGGCCGTCCTGCCGTGTACGGGATACAACAAATATACCACTTTGACTTAGGCATACCGGCTACGTTAAGGAAGGTGCTGAAGCTTGTAGAAGTAAAGACTTCACTCGATGAAGACTAGTTAAAGTTAAAACCTCAGTCTACGCCTGTTGGAATGGTTAATTTCAACATATTCCACAGAGTAATTGGCCTAAAGAACCTATGGATGTCCGAAATCTCAGTGTCCTGCATCATCATACCACAAAATGTGCCGATTTTGTAACTCAATATTGAAGATATTTCAACAAAATGACAACTACCTCTAATAGCAAGCAATTTCAAATATCAGTTCTATCATAAACTGTCAGGCTATGCGTTAAATTTTTAGCCCTTTATACAACTGTCAGTGAAATGGCTCATCTTTAAAAGAGCTAACCGATCATTGCAAAAACACTAGAAGCCGCAATAATGTTGAACGTGGCGCTTTGGAGGATGGAGAGATCGAACATCTGTCGTAGCATAGCATTAATAGGATGTCCAGGTTTCTTGGACACTTCGACTTGGCTGCTCACTTCGCGCACAAATTCGGGCAGAGCGGTGGTGGACATGAGCTTTATGAAAGAAAAATGGAAAAATATCAGCTTTGGCAGGTAGTTAAGCTGTAATCATAAGGACAATCTCGTTTAATGCATAATCTGATCTATAAAGAATTGATAAATATGTGAAAAATGCTGTTGCCTATTTAGTTTAGCCAAGTATTTATATCGTTTGTAGGATGAAATAATGCTTCTGTATCCTTTGCATATAAAGTCTACATAGAACTATGGGAGAAACTTCTGTTCTTGTTGAGGACGCCTTTGCTGGGTTGGGCTTTTGAAGAAAGCTCTCTGCTTGGAGTAAATATCGGCAAAACGCAGAATACGAACGAATTGGTATTATCTTCGAATTTTTGGGATGCGATAAAATTTCGAGCTAAATTTTAAGTGACTGTAAAAATGGTAATGTGGCACATACCAAAATTTCTTCTCCTTTTAGTCTTCAGGAGTATTTTCTTCACAAACTACTGTTCGTTTCATATAAAGTACGGCTATCTTCAAAGCCATGCTTGTGTATCTCTTATCCAACTTATGAACTGATCAGTTTTCGCTTTGAAACCTCATATTTAAATCTTAATTCTAGCAAATAAATTTTGATCCAAGGGAAAGTTATTAGAATATTGTATCCCCCAACAAACTTTGCCACCTCGGGGCAGTATGGTAAAAATTATTAAATACGTTACTTTTATTTAAACTACTTAAAATAAAATAGTTATATCAATTCACGGTTTATCATCTGGTAGGGAGCATTAAAAATAAGCAGAAATTAGTTGAAGGTAAACATATACAGTCAGGAATTTTACTCTAGCAGGCTTAAGCTTGCGAATCTAGGGACTTGATACATTTGTAATTTAAATGCATCCTAGTCTTTGTACACGAAGCTTTACCCAACAATTGTTCATTACTTTTTATATACAATTAATTACAGCTCTAATCGCTTTACTCACAAATTTAATTCATTAGACATAAATAGGCGAATTATAATAAAATTAATTTAACGAAGCTATGGTGTATTCCTAAAGCAAGTTCGTTTTGGCATAACTTGGTGCCATAAAGTCAGCAGAACAGCCAGAATTGTTATCTCATTTCAATGTCCAGATTTTGACATTTAAAAAAACAAATTCATGACCAAATGTTGGGTGTGAATTGCAAAAAAATAGGGTTCAATTTCCTCCTATATTTGGGGGCAATTAGGTCTCGTTTCATCGAAGACAGGGCTCTTTGAACAGTCGACCTCTGCTCTTTGGCGCGGTTTGCTGTTAAAAGAAAGCAGATGAGGCTGTCTTCCTTGGAATCCTGAACTGTAAGTTCAGTTATTATTCAGTAATCTATTATCTTTAAATTTATTCCAAAAGGCATACTTAATTCTCCTTGTCCTGCACATCCAGTATAAGAACCTTTTCGTCAAACAAGAGCCTGCCCTTAACTTCATATTTTTTACTAAAAATAATGACTATTTCAGACCGTGATGTTATTCATGAGCAAGCTTTCTTCCTATTTTCTGTGTTAACTATTTTAGCGAGATCAGCCGGAATCGATGCAAGCCGTGCAATAAGGACCTTAGGAGAAGGCAGATGAAGTAAGTCTGCATTCATTAAAGTAAATGGTACATTTGAACAAAATTTTGCGCCATCCTTCCAGAGCAGTCATCACTGAGTGATTGCCAGTTTAGAGGAGACAAAGTCTGTTCGAATGTATGTTTCTTCGAAGTATGCTTGCTGAGTATAAAGTACATTATGCCACTTTTAGAATCGCAGATGCACACCTTATGCCTACTATAGATGAAGCCCGATACCTACTGTTCGGAAGCCAACACGTCTCTTTCGAGAGCCTCCAGTGTACTTTTGTTCAGAGGCCAAATCCACAATATATGCCTAACTAGCAAAATAGATGAGCCAGTCTCTAATTCGGTTGCCCTTCCAGATTTAACCTCGCCTGATTGATATCTCCAATGCCCGGCACTAAAAGGTTGCATTGCTCGGACCAATCAGGGGGTCAGTGCAACCACCTAGCCTCTGGAGTCACCCTATCACAACAAGCCTATACATAAGATATGCCCATCTTTATTTTATTGCCCAATCCGAGAGTTGCATGTCTTATCGCAAAAAACAAACCAATTTGCATATTGGCTCCTTACGGCACCAAACTTAGGCTCGACATAAAGTGGCGAAGTAATAAATGGTATAAGATGTACTTTTCTTATTTAGTTTGAGGTGATAGGGGGTCTAGTAGTTGAATTTTCCCACAACGATAAGAGTAAACCTTACGTTTCCATTTAATTTCCCTTAGTCTTGCATTCCCAAAAGGTTTTCTCACCATTTTGGAAAAGCATAGCAATTTGAAATGTAAAGAAAGCGTAAGATCTACTCATATCTTTGAGGGAAAATCCAACTACCAGTTGTATTATCATATACAATGAAATAGGCTGGATAAATCTCATATGTATGATCTACTAGTAGTCTATAAAGCCAGCCTATAAAACGATAGATAGTATGAACCTGAGGAAAAATACATATAATTCTAATATGCAATGTCGAGTCAAAAAGAGACAGTATTTAATCTAGTGTATTAGACGTAATCCTGCGTAGTCAAGAAATAAATAAGCCATCTTTTTTAGAATCCATCAATTCTTCGTATGTACCTAAAATTGCTGATAACAAAGTGAATTTAAGTTAACCCAAAACAAATAGAGTAGTTTTAAGTAATGAGTGAATTGATCTCACCGAAAACCGAAGGAGGATTTCCTTGCAGGTGTGAAGATGGCTGGATTGTGTAAACAAGTCCTCGGCCCAGTCCTGCGACCCCGATAAACTAGTATCAAGCCTTTGTCCGTCATATGGCAATCATGGTCAGAGACAAAATGATACTTCACGAAAAGCGCACTAAATAAAATAAGCCCTTATTCTCTTGGCTTAATGTATTTTTGCGCTTTTTCGTTAAATATAATTTCTAGTAGAGAACATTTATATAATAGGCGACGGCTTGTTATTGGTCTATCAAGATCACAAGACTGGACCGAGAACTTCTTCACACAATCCAGCTTCGGTTTCAGGAGAAACCAATTCACGAATTCATTCCAGCCGACGTTTTCTTCTAAATGTCATGTCCTGTCGCAATGTATCACTTAGCACTTCTTCTTAATCCTGATTTTATTAATACATACATTATTAGATGCAGTTATTTGGGTGCTTTCAAGAAATTAACTCATAAAGGAAGCCAAAATAGGTGCAAATCAGAGAAAATCTTGTTACAGTGTGTCGTCTCATTAGCTTCAAGAATTAACACGGCACAAAAAGCATGCATCGAGCTGAAACTCACAGTGACAATTCATTTATGAAGATTAAGGAAGATCACTTGGGAGGATATTCAAAAAGATTCCAAGGAGCAATGCCTTTAACTCTACATTAGCTTTAAAACAGACTGGTACCGATCTGCATTTTTAGCGATACGACTTTTAGCTCTGAGGATGTAGCTAGTTTTAGACGTGTAAGACCAAAAATTCTAATAGTAATGTCATTTGATGAGAAGTAGCCAAATCCAAAGAAGAAGCATACAGTTATGAACTCCTACGATCACACCTAAATATAAACCTGCTAATCTCTGAGACAAAAAAAGCAAAACTTGCACCGAAAAAGGGATTTATGCATCTCAATCAACTTATTTGCATTTTTTAGAGTGAAACTTTATTTGTATTCGATATGCTTAAAAATAACCCTATTTTGCTAATATGTGTCTTTGTACCATGCATTCCACAAGTGCCTAAGACAAGCAAATACAAATTGATTAAAAATGTGGTATGCTGATTTATAACAAAGATATTTTCTCAAAAATTTACTTAACAGCTAATAAAACCTGAAAATGGATATTGCCTTGAAATTAAAATTTCGAGCAGGGGATTAATTGAAATTTCTAAAAAAATCGCTTATGGGACACATAATTCAATGAAGGCCATGATTAGACTTTGGTGGAGTTTATTATAAAATTATGACTAAACTTTTTAAATAGTCATAACGTTTATACATAAAGAAAACTTCATCATATTACTGGTTGGAAGGTTAAGTTTGAGATAAGGCAGACAGCTATATTAAACAAAAAATTCCCCTTCTGTCACAGCAAATAACGGCCAGCTGCTATTTTTACTCCCCAAAGAATTTCCCAATCCATCATATTCCCTAATCACCTCGACTGCATATTTTAATCAACACCGAACGTTTGTAAAAGCGTAAAGAAACTAGATTTTAGTTAGGAAATTATGGTCTTAATTTATGGATATTTGAAGATAAATCTTTTGACAGTGGTATATGTATATTCACAATGATGATATATATATATATATATTCCTTTTGTATTCCCTATTTTTATCTTATAAGGAAAAAGCATTTGAAAGACTCTTTATCGGTCAAAATATATCAAAATACATCTGTGTCTGCTTCTGCCTCCCCTTTAACGAAGACGTCTGATAAAGAATTTCATTACTTACTCACATTTAAATATTAAAGGAATTTCCTCTATAGCAAAATACGTGAGATAACGTGAGGAATAAATAAATCGAGTTATGGAGGCTAGCTACTAAAGCACGCTTGAGGAAATCTTTTAAAAGGCAGTTCCACAGCATTGACTTGGTGCTAAGTTGAAGCCAAAGGGTTGCTTAATATAACATGTTTTGATCTAAAAGCTATTTGCATTGAACCAAAATATCTGCCAAGTTCACCATGGTTCATTATTATCAAGACTTTTCTAAGAACTTGTCTACAAGTTAATACGTTGTATTGTGTCAAGAAATCTTTACGCGCTTTACTCTCCTTACCTCATTCACATGCATCATACTGCCTGCATAGAAGTAGTCTTTCTTGTGCTGGGGCCGGGCGACCTCTTTGCGCAACTCCTTAACAATTGCACCGCGCATACTTTCATCTAGCATTGGACCATCAGTCACGACACTTGTCTTCAATGAGATCGCCGACGCAAAGTAGGACTGAAGGCCGAATTGGTCTTGCTATAAAAGGCATAAGAATTAACATACGCAACGCATAGGAAAGTATTAAGGAATTTTTGAAATTTAATTAGAAGAGATTACTATGGGATAAAAATTCATCGGGTAGTTGGAATTTACAATGATGTCAAATTGAAATAATGTCTCATTGTTCAATTTTTCCCTTATAGGAAATATAATATTGTATTCCATATTTGCTTAAATGGTTATTTTAACTTAACATATATGACAGAAACCATGGATCTCTTGCATTTATATATTTATTTATTTCAAACCGAACAAATATTCGATCTTGAGATTCATGACTTTAGGTTAGGTGAGTGATAGCTTCTATCAGATCTCTTGAATGGTAGTAAAAAGGGTGGACACACCTCATATATCTGATTTACTGGCAGTCTTGAAGCCCTACTTAGAAACGAAAAATAAGTAATGAAATCGATAGCAAATAAAACTTTGCCTCATCAAGAATCCCATTACCGAATATGATATGCAGAAATGCCTGACCTTCCTCTAACTTCGCATCTGCTCTGTAACTCAAGGGCACTCGTAGTAATGCGGCGTAGTGGTTATTGTGTCGGAATTATACTCTGTACCGTCATCGTTCGAGTCCCGCTTGACCTAGGCGAGGTCAAAACTGCAGTCCACTCATGCCTGAATAAAAATATCTTTTGATTGTGTAAAATTTAATGGGAACGTCATATCTACTCATATAACCGTGGAAAAATTCAACTACTACCCCTTCCTCACCTTAACCGAAAAATAGTGAATAAATTTAATATGCTTGATTTACTGATAGTCTCGAAACTCTACTTTAAAACGAAACATAAACAACTTGTATAAATTTGATTGCCAACCAACCAGAATAAAATAGCTCTTAAGCTTATAAGCATAAAACTCACGACAATACTTCTAAGCTAGTATCTGATTAGCACATATTTATCATAACTCCTTAAAAACTAAGATAAGCCATATTCATTTCTTCTGCTTTCCTTTTAGATTTTTACTCCTTCTTTACTATTCTTTTTTTTCCAATCCAGCGAATGCATTTTTTGCTGTGGTGCCATATCAGGATTTAGCTAATATTTTAGCTACGTTACTTTCTCCAGTTTATTTAGCCCAACGTTAACACAGTATACAGTTATCATGTTAAGATAAAAATAACCGCTTTAAAACAGCTGAATATTGATACATGCCTCAGTGAAATGCATTCTGCACTAAAGTATTTCTAAATGTGTCTTAATCAGTACGAATTTGTTAGTAACATTTTATTCGGCATGACTGAGTAAAAGGATTTGTTTTTGATATAAAAAAGCTGTTCGGCCTAGAATGGCCCTTAAATATGGCCTGATAAACCCTATCAAATTGGTTCTATTTCTGAGCCATACACTTTAATGCGATCCACATCTTCAAACTAACTTACTCGAGCGTATAGCTGGGCTTTTTCTGTTGGCTGGATACTGACTAGGTTTTGAAAGGGTGTAATTGCATTCGACGAACGGAACAAGAGACGCTGACTGCCCAACGCAAAAGAGGAGCCGAAAGTACGACTAACTACTGAATTCTGTTGCTGGGTCAATGAATTAACGTGTCGAGTAGGCGAAGATGTTGAATGTTTTGCCTGCTGTTGTTGTTGTTGCTGTTTCTTGGCCAGCACCTCTTCGACAACACGATTTATGGTATGCATACTAAGAACCGGCAGGTGTCGTTCTGAGCTACCTCCGGCGTCGCCAGAAGTGACACGTACTCCCGCACCTCCGCCACTCGTGGCCAATGAACCAGTTTGGCCAAAATGCTTGCCGGGCACTACGAGGAAAGAGCCTGTGAATGCACCAGTCCGTACCCCACTTCGGGTCAAACCTGCATGCCCAGGCGCCAGAATACTTCCAAGTGCCAGATTGCTACCAAGTCCGGCCAGATTAAAACCGGGTCGGCCAGCAAGTCTGGCCGCGGTTAAAGCGGATGTGGTCGTTGGTGCTTGAATGTAAGAATGGGTGAGATGGGCAGAGGTTGGCCTCAGGCCAGGCGACCTAGGAGAATTTGTGTTGGCAAGGCCATGCCGCCAAGTGAAATTGGTCAATTCACGCAGTGAAAACTCCTTTCCTCCTGTCAGTGATGTCCCGACCAACTCTGTTGATAGAACACGATTTGGGGATTGATGCGCATGTGCCTCTTGGGCTTGCTCTGACCGTGAGATGAGCTGTTGTTGGTGCAAATTTTGAGTTTGGGCATTCAAAGCAGCAATCGCAGCGGAAACCAACTGGTTGTCACTAGTGATCATCATATCTGCAAACGGTGATAATGAAGTAGAAGAATGTATTATATGAGGAAGGCTGTGAAAATAACGTTGAAAATACGACTAAGAATATTTTATAATGAGATTTTTATTTTTAGTCTTATTTATGAGTATGTAAAAATAGGTAGACATTTTATATCATTAGAGACTTTATTTCGGAAAAAAGTTGGTGGGAGAGAGACTGCACCAGTTATAATTCGAGACTTTCTATGGAACACAGCTTTTCATTATATGATTTAAATTCTGAGAAATTTCTCTACTCTACAGATATGTGTGAATAAATGCTTTGCATAAATTGTATTGAAAAAGTTTCTAACTAATATACTTTGATTCATCTTCACCTAAAACAACTACAATAGACCACTACATTTACTTTATCTGATAAAACCACTTTAATTGAGCTAAAGTCGACTTGGCTGAAGATTTATTAAAAACTTGACTTTAGTAGTCAACTTATACAATAAGCCACTGGATTTTCTATGTTTTCGAAAAGCCTCAAGCGATTCTTTTGATGTATTTAATAAACTTAAATAGGTCTTGGAAAAAAATTTATAAAAGCCTTTACATTAGAGGTCATATTCTTAAAGGTATAATTTGAATGTGCTATTTCTACTACTTTATCACGCAATCATAAAACAAATACACAAGTAAGCAAACATATTTTGAAAGTATAAAAACTATAGAAACTAAAGACATATTTAGAGATGAAATAGGGTTTTATATTAAATAGTTCCTTTTAACCACATAAATGTGCTTGATACAGTCCTGGTTATTCTATCCATATAATATGGAAGAATAGACCTTAACTGATTTTTCCTAGTTTAAATGCGAAAACTGGATTAAATTATATTCTAGAAAATCCACTATTCCAGATAAGAAATCGTTATTATTTAAGCTTTCCTACATATAGCGAATTCCTTTTGCTGCTCTCCAAGAAATTAAAGGTCGAATTGGCAAAAAATATGGATTATATGAAGACGAGGGGTAGCTTTGATTCTTGTTGGCTCAAAGGACTAGATTTCTTTTGTATCTGCACTTGATTGCTGACAATATACTGTCGCTATTTGTAAATGGATTGTACAGCACAGCTATTCTTATTCAAGCCTTACTGAACGACGATTAGTGCAGTTTTAATAGTATCCAATATATTCTGAAAATTGTTCCGGATTATATATTGAGATATTTACGCAAATTGCTGTGCATTTGCCAGCCACATGAAGGACTGGTTGCTTAACCACTAAGCCCTGCCACATTAAAGTGGTCTGTTATGACCATCGTTTTACTTTAATAAGATTAGTTTAGACATATTAGTGCAAGCTTTGAATATCATTTATTATTGAAAATATTTGCATTTTTATGGTCCAGAATTAACGAATATAACGTATGGATCTAGTCTTGTAGAAGAAATTATAGCAACTATATATTTTGAACATACTACTGCTGCCACTGCTAGGATTATGTACACATATGTTAGCTTTCTATTATAAATGTCCACCATCTTTTTTTACTGATACTATATTTGGCATTGGACCACAAGCTCTGAACTCCAATTTTTTAAACCACGCAATATTTGAATTTATTTAAATATTTTATAGTAAATGTATGGATATATCGTTATAAGGTTCGTGTTAAAATAAGCATTCAGACGAATGTCTTATCAGGTTTTAGCCAATATCTCGGTTTGAGGCACTTTAGAATTGAGACCCTAGCACAAATATCAATGAAATCCAGCTATAAGAGTGATTCTCTTAGTTGAGATAACTGGTGATGAAAACGAATTTAAATAAGTTTTTCATTTGGGATTCTAAAATGTTCCTACTTCAAAATGGCTTCCAGCTACCTCATTTGAAATTTAACAGATGAATTTTATTACTAAAATAATTACATTACATGCTACTCTAACAAGAAATGCCCATATCCATCAATGATTGTTTTTATTTCATATTATGGGTTCATTTTGCCAATCATTATTTATTCTAATTGTAAGGAA